CCTGCTGATGTTGAGCACTTTTTTCAGTTGTACATCACCCCTTTTAAGTTGTGATTATTGTCCTCTGGCAATCATGTCCATGGCAATGGAATACCCCACATTTATGTGTGGAATTCCCATGAAAACAAACCTCCAGTTATATGGGTATGTCTGAAAATAGGGTATATTCCCAATTATAGCCATTTAATAGGGATAATGATCATTAACCATTGGGTTTAGGGGTACAGTATTTTCAGACACACCCATATGGAATTTTCATAAATTTTCAATTGCCATGTTTGATTGCCAGAGGGTAAGTACCCAAGCTCCGGTCAACCCAGTTCCTGACGAACATATCCCCCTGAAAGATAGATTTTGATAGCGAACTTCTACCGTCAACCAACCATAATCTATCAAGGCCCCCATATGTTTCATAGTTAAAACTATGATTCTGGGGTTGTCTTCAATTACACGGCACCCCAAAATTTGATGGTCGATTGATGTTGACCAGCAAACTCCAAATTGTTGGTTTTCTATACTCATTTGATTCCCATCGTATCCAATAAATTCCAATAAGTAGAAATCACTTTAAACATCTAAAAACAATATCTGACAATATCTATAAATCTGGGTAAACTATAATATTTCACTAACCTGAATTGTTGGGCCATTTGGGGATGATTTCCCTTATTAACCATAGTTCCAGTGATTGGATTAAATCCATATGTTGGATCACTCATCAAGCAGGGTCCGGCAAAGCCGCCCTGCCTTGGCCCGGCGGAGCAAGGAACGGCCAGTTCGACCCAGCCTAGGGAATGGATGGATAAAAATTCAGCGATACGTCCCTGGTAATCAAACATGGCAATGGAAAATCCCCAGCTAAATGTGGGTTTTATATGGTTTTATATGGTTTAAAATGGAAAATCCTCCATATATAAATGGATCCAGGATGATCCAGGTTTCTAGTTGAACAGTTATAAATGGTGGATTTAGACTACCTGAAGGTAGTTTGAATGTTCGTGCATTTTCAGAGGCATGTCATTTGTTTATCGCAACCAAGGTCATCTGCCGGGAGCCCGGTTTCAACTGTCATGGGATCTGAACCTCAGCCTGTGATTTGGAGAAGGGGAACGCCGGGAACGCCGGTAGAAATGCATTGATCAAGGAGTAGCCTCCAGTAATCAAACATTGTTTATAACTCCAATAACTATGGTTTTTGGTACCTATAACTATAGTATTCCATGGGTTTGTAAACCATCAAACATCACTGGAAAATCCCCAGCAGACTTTCCGACTAAAAAACCATTTCAAAGCTGCATTTATTACCAGGATTTCCCAGCCATGATTGCCGAAGGGTACCACTGCATATCATATGTCGTTCCTGTTCTTTGCCGTTGAAATCACTGGTCTTTTCCATCCGTTATATATCCATCCGTTTTTTTAAACATATTCATATATATATATATATATTTATTTATTTCTGCAGTAGGTTTCCATCCAAAAAACACAAGCTTTAAAGCGCTTGGTGCCCCCCACAGCTCCCGCGCGAAGACTTCGAAACCCACGCCGCTGGCGGCTCCGAATGCAGCCAGGAAGTCCTGACTTTTCGAGGGTGGAAACACCATTGAAAAAGGGCGATGGATCATTGAAATGGTGGTCTTATGGCAGTTTAATGGTGGTCTTATGGCAGTTTAATGGTGGTTTGATGGCAGTTTACGAATGGAGGTTTCGTAAAAAAATTAGATCCCCAGTCGTCACCATAGGTTTCGATACTGAGATATCCTACGTCATGGTCATCCATGACGACAGGATGATGGCAGGGGGTACCTCCAAGGAGGTCCCAAGGTCAGGATGTTTGCTCATCGCCGCAAAAAGGGCCTGCCTCGGCGAGAGTGTTGGAGGGCTGCAGTGGGGTTAAAGAGATATATGTCCTCGAAGTAATATGTGTATATATATACACATACATTATATATACATTGTATATATACAATATATATATATACACAATAATATACAATATATACAATACATATATATATATATATATTATATAATATGTAATAATATATATGTAATAATATATACGTAATAATATATATGTAATAATATATGATGTAATAATATACATGTACTAATATATATGTAATAATATAATATAAATATATATATATATATATCCCCAACTATATATACTATATAGTACCAACTTATATCAAGTGTAAGATCGTTATTCCAACTATACGTTGGACACTTATATTCCCAACCACTTAATGGTGATATTTGCCCGGGATATATTTAAAAGGGGATACTTGCTGGGGATAACCAACTATATATGGCTCAAAGGATTCGTTTTCTTGGGAAAAAATACATTGGAAACCATGGCAAACATAGTTAAAGTGTATGTATGCTGGTTCCTGTACATATAATATTCCCTTTAACCAATTGTCGGAAATTACTTGGTAGAACACGGTGACGAACACCCATTTATTAACCGTGGGACATGTTGCTATGAGTATGATGGCTATGGTGTACAGCAAATGGCTATGACTCTCGAATAAATGACGATTTATGATTACACAACTACAGCCAAATAAAGCTAGGTGCCTTCCAAAACCAAGTCATTAACTGGCTTTGACTCTAATCTTTCTTGCACCGCAGCGCCTTGGAAATTTTGGTGTGACATGGTTTGACCTAAAACAAATCAAACAAAGTGTGTTCAAGCAATTTTTTTTATATAAAAACATAGTTACAGCTAAGAACAGCTAAGCATCCTGTGTTGCTGGATTTCCTGGATGTTGGCTTTCTTCTGATTTCCCATTGTTTTCCTCTCGGTTGTGTCTAAACAAAACCTCAAATCTCCACAGTGTGCCCAATAAATATTCAAAGGAAGAGTGAAGTGTCTTGACTCTTCAGGTGTAGTGCCAACTTAGATAGGGGAATCTCTGAACTATTTGAATCTCTAAATGAGTATTGGATAATGAATTGTGAATCGATGTAGTAATATGCACTCTATCCAATCACTTTCAGGGGAGCGGGTGTATGAATCAAACGCAACCATTATAGATACACAACAAAAAACATAGAAAAGTACTAGTACAATCCTACTAAAACCGTTAACATATAAATAATCCATACTGTAATAACCCCCTAAAATTCAATGGCTCAACACGTCGAAACAAGACGATCTGGTCAAATAACACCTTCCAGCGAGTTCACGGCCCGTTCCCACACTCACAGGTAGTATAATATTATCATATAATATATATATATATATACGTAGTAAGTATAATATACTATAATATACATACATACTAACCATAATCTGTATTATATTGTATTAGTATATATTAATATGTACTGACTGGTCGTTTCTACTCCCGCATCCATGTCAAGCCCCACAAGCTCAAGGGCTTCCGCACAGCTGTGCTTCTGAGAGCTCACTTCCCACCAGACCAGCCTTAGTTCGGCGTTTCTATACTCAATAGTAAGCCATCCCCAAAATTACAAAATTTAACTGGGTGCTATAGGCCATCCCCAAATTGTAGGTTTATTATGGGGGTTCCCACATTTTCCGACATTACTTGATATGGAAAACGATAGTGGTATGGAAAACGACAATGATTGTTGATAAATGAACATAGATATGGAACATGATCTACTTTCACGATGGGTTTTCCATATATTGATTTACCAGAGGCGAACTGGAAATCTGGAGACCCTGATTTTATCATGGTTACATTATGCAACATGATACTGACAGGTTCTTTTCCGTATTTTGATAGCTCCCTAATTTTGCCCTGTGACATCCCCTTTCTTGGATATTTTTCCTTGGTTCAACCACTCACGGGAACCACCACCCCAAGCACCACCCGGAACCGGGTCTCCACGCCACCCCCAAGCCCAAGGTCTCCTTGGACAGTCGGGTGGACCCAGCCGGGAGCCATCGCCTCAGCACATGGATCCCCAGTCGTCATCCATGACGACTGGAGCTGGTTGGTGGTATACCTACCCCTCTGAAAAATATGACTTCGTCAGTTGGGATGATGATTATTCCCAATGGGAAAATAAAATTCATGTTCCAAACCTCCAACCAGATGACGACTGGAGAATTTGGAGGTACCCCCATGACTTCGGAAACCTCATGATTTCTCATGCTGAGGCCACCAACATGGGGATCTCTGTACTTGAATTTATATTGGCGAAGTTGGTTTAGTGAAGCACTAGTTTCACTGTTGAGTTTATGGGGATGCACTCACTACGGTTAGATGAAACCAACGGAGAATAGCTGGAGCCACTGAAAAAGATGTGGAGATCATCATCCCTGGGATGATGGTACCAAGCATTTAAAACTACGCACCAGGAACTTGTTTCAGGAAAAGGATCCGAAGTTTATTGGGTAACTCAGTAACTCCCTCAATTTTGGGTATCTCAAGTAAATCCTCCATTTTTCTATAATCAATTTCCCGTTTTTTGGTTCCACCTCTGACTGCAGCGCACAAGGCCTTTTTGCATCGGAGTTGGCCATCTTAAAATTGCCATGCGGCTGGGCATCTCAGTCCAAAAATCATCAGATGGGATACCCTCTGGTAAACGTTTACATAACTATGGAAAGATTCACCATTTTTAATGGGAAAATCCACTATTTCTGTGGCCATTTTCAATAGCTTCTTGTTAAATTACCAGAGGGTATTCCGATATTCAAAATGACCTCCAGGATCCCTGCAGGTGATGATCGGTCATTATTGAACACCCAGAAGCCCGCTAGCCGCTATTCCTTGAAACTGTTTCCCAAAAGAGGATGACTATGTACCGCAAACAATCTGGTGAAACTGATCAAAACATGCGTCAGAATCCAACTACCTCATAGATCGGCGACCCAGCCACATCAGTCAACAGCTGTCTACAGAGCGTTCAACTCCAGTCCACCTAAAATAGAACTTAAATATGGACATAGAATTTTCATCAATTTTCCAGGACATAAAAAGGACCTGGTATCCCTGTTGTGTCTGGCTGGGTTCCCCCTAAATCTGCTTGCCATCACGCGTGTTCGGATCGCGTTTTCCCGCCTCGCTGAGTTTCAGATTCCACCGAGCCATGGTGTGGAGTGGTGGTGACTGAGAACCTCATCATGTCCAACCTTAGATGCCTGGTTTGGATTTTCCAGCTATACAAAATACACATGTATACAATATATTATAAAACCTCCTGGCAAAGGCTAAACTGGAATCATCATCCTATAACAAATCAGGGTCGACAATACAGTTAATTTCCAAGCTACATCACATCGTCACACATCGTGGGCCATCACAGTTCAGAATACTTTGGGCAAGTGGTCAGCTTTTACCAGCCAACATCATGGCTTTTTGAGTGTGAAAAAAATATGTAATTTCTGTAGTTTCCATCAATACTGGGCCATCGGACCAGAGGAGTAAGGAATTTCTCATCCGTCCCCCTGGACCAACTTGCGCCCAAAAAACACACGTGTTTGACACTGGTTCAGTGGCATAGCTGTTGGTTCAAGGCAGAATTCCCGTAGTGGATCATGAGAATTTACAGTAATCCCAATTCAACCAATCAGTATATTTATAGTTATATATAAGTAGTATAACCCCTGTATAGCTCGGTATAACATGGTATTCCTGTATAACATTGTATAACATTGTATAACATTGTATAACATTGTATAACATTGTATAATTGTATATCTACTATATCGCCATCTTTTCTGGTTTGAATCCCCATTTCTAATGGTCAAATCCCGCTCACCGCAGAAACGGGGCATCTGCCAAGCAACCACCAGTCCCACCCCAAAAACGAAGAGTGCAAGCACAATGATCAGCCCCGCGCCGCCTGTGAACTTGGCTCTTTTGGCTGCTGGGGCTGAATTTTTTGCCCAAATCAACTGGTTCATTACCATCAGGTTATGTAACATAGCCATGGAAAATCACCATTTTTAATAGGTGAACCATCTATAAATGGGCCATCAATACCATGGCTATGTTAGTCATAACCAGAGGGTACAGCTTGAGTATTGTACAAGAATGCACTGTATAAGAATTTGAGGGGCTCGGTTTCAAGATGGGCTATATATTTTCAGCTATACCAAACACATAGCACGTTAAGAATTTGAGGGACCCTGGAATCGGACTGCCAAATTCTTAAATTACTGCTTATACGTGACCCCTTGTACTGGAGACTTCGAAATTAGGCGGGGTGTAGTCCCCCTAGTCCTTGTACTGGTTCAACCAAGGCCAAAAACCAGCGTAGCCGGAACAGCTACGCAGGATTCCGGCCACGACAGAGCCCAGCGCGGCCAAAACCCTGGTATAACGCAAAATTGCGCGTAGATCGATCTACGCGCGTTTTTGCGTTTTCCTGGCGCCGCGGCGCCGCTGCAAGCAACCAAGGCCAAAAACCAGCGTAGCCGGAACAGCTACGCAGGATTCTGGCCACGACAGAGCCCAGCGCGACCAAAGCCCTGGTATAACGCAAAATCGCGCGTAGATCGTGGATCTACGCGCGTTTTTGCGTTTTCCTGGCGCCGCGGCCCCGCTGCAAGCAACCAAGGCCAAAAACTAGCGTAGCCGGAACAGCTATGCAGGATTCCGGCCACG